ACATGTAAAAGGAAAAACAGGGCAATGTCTGGGCCTGCTCCAATCAATTACTTTACTACTGTTATATCCTGAGCAACCTTCTCCTGACTTACCTTATGGTTTAAGTAGTAATGAAGAGAGAGACCACATGAGGGCACCATTGTATAGAAATCAGCTACAAGCCATTGGGAACTCAAGGTGTTTTCACATTGACCTGTAAAAGCACCAAACACAAGATGGCTGAGTGCAACAAAACAGTAGGTTTGCTCATTCTGAACAGTGCTGGCATCTATTGCTTTATTACAGAGAGACAACAGTTTGACTTGCAGTTTTACTTTTGTTCAGCCGTGCAAATTGCATTTCCATTAAACATACCACAGCGTTAGGACGGAGCAGCACCTGATGGGACTCCACATAATGCTACAGGGGAGAGACTCTTGGTACAGACAGCAACAGAGTAACACACACACACACAAAATAGAGGTTCACTGACTGTACTGCGCTCCAAAGAGACTGGAGAATAATGAAAGCGAAATCAAACTGAACCAAAGTTTGACATCCTGTCTGGCTGCTGGAGAAAGGTTTTATACTGTGAAAATGTTCAGTGGTACATTTGCTGTTTGCTGAAAGGAAAAGTACTGTAGCTGTTTACTTATAGCCATCATGGGTAGCTCATAGCAAAGGTTTGTATCAATATGGAAGTACCTAAACACTTAGTGTTGGTTTACAGGTGAGAACAGTTCACAGTTAAAGCCTTTTATGGAAACCCAGAGTGTAAAATGAGATAAAAACAACACTGAAAATAATAGTCGGGAATAAATTGTGTAAAATACATACTTGCACAGACAGTTTGTGAAATCATTCAAGAAATATTAAAACTTGTCATTATTTTGAAATGGGATTTCATCATTCTTAACAGAGTTTTTAGGGTTTATTTTATTGTGATTATGGACATTATTATTTCATAATGCCTTTTTATGTCCCGTTACTACGGCGGCCTAGATGGTGGGACATTATGTTCATGCTGCTGTCTGTGTTTCTCCAATAGATGTGCTGTTGAACACAGTAAGTCTGGAACATTTCAAAGCAGGAACCCACTAATAATAGAGAAGATGGTCTGAAAGGAATTTGCATAAATGTGCATTTTAATGAGACCGATTTCACAAGAACTGCACGTTAACCTAACACATTCAAATTGTTACCAAATAGATAACATTATGCAAATAAGTATGTACGCTGGTAGGAAAATAATACAGATAGAATGCAGCAAATTACAGTACAGCTCACGTTACCAGTAGGAATTCTGTCTATTGACATTTCCACCAATCAGACATAACACTGTGACCACTGACGGGTGAAGTGAGCTGAGACAAACCAGTGACAAGGGTTCAATACCAAATGGAGCAAAGCGGCTCTTACGTCACTAATCACGTGACCAAAACACACCTCGGCACAGAGGACCATCACTAATGACGATGGCAGGTGAAGTGATTAACACTGATGAGCTCATTACAGCCACCTGTCAGTGGGTGGGGTATATAAGGCAGCAAGGGTCTAAGGAAGGACAGACAACAGATGGTGAACTGACGACAGGGCTATGGACGCCCACGACTCACTGGTGATGACGTTAACCTACTGTAGATCTTTTGAGATTCAATTTTAATGTGCAGCGTTCTGTGTGTATGCAGATTTTTAGTAGTTACTCTGAGGTAATGAGGTAAAGCGGTTGAATAAATGTATAATTTCGCGTTCATGTAGGCTACTTTATTTAGCATTAGCGGGTTAGCAAAACTCTGCTAGCAAGAAGCCTTTCGGCTGAAAACAACAAACCAGGCGTGTGCTCTCTAATTAGCTCCATGTGCTGTTAGCCTTTCGATACGCTGTTTTGCTTTAGTATGTTCCTTTTAACAACGAGGTTAATTGGTAAACCTTGCTTCTAGGAGATTTTTTGCCACGATTTAGCGGTAACTAGTCACCTATCCCCTGTTGGCTCTGTAGTTTGACTGCTAGCGTTATGGGAACTGTGGTGTGGTATAACGAATATATCTGGACTAGATTAACGTTAGCACCCTCGTTTTTAAACACCCAACAAGTTAATGTTTAGAGGACACTGGTCTTTAACAGATTTTTGTTGTAGTGAAGAAACCTTTTTAGGTAAATACGTGAGTCTTGGGTTTTTCTGCCACGTCTCGTAAGATGGAGCCTCAATTTGGATTGAAGTCCAGACAAACCAACTGCCAGTTGTCATTCATGAACGACCCGAAAAGCCTGCTTTGTTTAAATTAAGATCATATTCAAAATATCCACAGGTTTTACTGACGGTGGAAGCAATGCCAGGATTTGACAGAAAAAACTATCAGTAAGTTCATGGTAAAGAATGGTGTCCTGTTAACAATGGAGAGAATTTCATGTCTAAATTAAAGGTCTTTGAGTATCCAGAAATGAAGACTAACTGGAGGGAGACTTTCATAAAGCTGCAAGTAATGGTCTTGTAATGTTTTTGTGAGGGATTCAACACATGAGAAGTTGAATCAGTGCCTATAATGGTTGGATGTGTAGAAAATGACTAAACGGACAGATGTGCTCTTCAAATTAAGACATTTCATTTTCACATTTGTGACTTTCTTATTCTACTCCTGTTCTACATTCAAGGTGACGGTGGCCAGAGGATCCTGTCTGTTGGCTACACAAACAAGATGCTCCAGATGATCACCAGCAATGGGGAAATGCATCCTTTACATTTTCCCTCTTCAAGAACAAATTGACACTACAATCCTTCTCTATTAGGCTGTGGATGGGTAAGTTCACCAGGACAATAGAAACAATGGTGTGATTTCATATAGGTTTGTACAAAATATTCAGATTCACTAGCTTTTGTAGAGCTTTTAATTACCTTTAAATGCTTTCTCACCCATTGTTGGCTTCATGATAAATTTGGAATATAAACCTACAGAGCTGCTAAAATATTCCTGCATCATTTATCAAAGAATTGTATTGACTGTACAAGTACTTGGTAGTACTTTCATTACCCATGTCCACTTGCTCTATTTAGGCAATGTGCACAGATGTATACAATATTATGTAGTTCATTTCCCCAGTTTTTCATGAAAGGTGTAACAAACGGTGCATTTTGACAGTTCATATAGTACACTGTGCACACTATTTGATGTATTCTGGTCTTCAGGTGCACTGTATACAACAACTCCGGAACTTGGAGGCATGCAGCCCAGTGAAGACGATGACAAAACGTTGTGGGCTCACACTACAAACCTCCAGACAATTCAGATGGTAAATTGTTCAGACCATTGTGAAATGTGCAAATTGTTATTGCTGTGATGCCTGAAATGGACATGGCACCATTTCTTTCTGTCTTAAGTGGCCTCTTAAATGATTAAACACATCCATCTCAACAAATGGCTGCTTAAAATCACATAGTGGGCAATGAAATGCCTTAGAAATCACATCACTGTCTCCAACTAAGGTTACCCGTTTCTTTTCTGGATGTTCTCTTGACAAATGAACATATAGTGAATTAAAAGTACTGAATGCACACATGCATTTATCATACAAGCACGGCAAAGGTGAAACTGTGGAATACTGGCCATGACTGAGCCTGTAACACAATGGAGTGTTTCCACTGCATGGGCACTTAGAGGTCCTCGGCTCACCTCATAGCTCCAGTGGGGCAGCCATGGCCCCCACTCAGTGTGGTTTTAGTGAGGAAGACCTCCTCCTCTGTGTCCTGACACTGATTCATGGCAGAGTGCACACACTCACAAAAGCATCTTGGGAGATATGTAAATGTTCAGTGTGAAATTACTGTAAATATCCCTGACTAAAGTCTAAAGTCTAAAGACCAAAGACTTTTGGCAAAAAAGACAACAAAACAAACTAAGACCCATGACCCCACATGGTCTTCCTCACAAACACAAAGTAAGAAAATAAAAACATCAAGCTCTGACTTGGAACAACTAAATGCAGACAAATGTGTGGATTCTTTTAGGCAGTTGTTTGAAGGCCGTCATTTGCTAACCCCTGCACATAGGAACATAGGTTAAAGTGCCCATGGCTGCTCATTTTGCTCATTTCCAGCCATTTAATGTTTAATCTTGGGTACCTCTAGATTATCTTTGCACCCACCCATCACAACTCCAAATGGTCTGTAATTATTTCAGAATGATAAAACTAGAGAGCCTGTTCCTAAAAATGAGAGGACAGTTTGTGAACACGCACAACTCCTGCTGCACGTGAACAGCACAACATTAATTAATGTGAATTTCTCCTCCATGGATATGTAAACAACGGTATATGTACCAATGAAAAGAGATGTGTAACACTCTAAACAAAGCAGGTCATTGAGAAACCCCATATTTTAACTGGCATAATGCAGACAGAAACATTCCCACAACTTTTAGTAACATTCCTTAGAAACTCTACAAATGTTACAAATGCAATTTTCTGATTTGAGGGGCTATATTGTAAAGTTGATTTAATGACAACAAACCTTTCCTGCAAGTAGATAAACCACATCAATTATTTTTGATAAGACAGTCCATTTATTATTTATTACTCCTAGTACTTCATTAAAAAATTGATTTCTGCATAAAAGGGGGTCATTTTGCTACAAACCTTCAATTTCATCTAATACACAACAAAACTACATCTCCTTAAACAAAGTGCCTATTATGTTTCTGTATGGACAAAAACAAACACCCAATACACATGCAGTGGAGCATAGCAGGAAATCCCCAGGTGATACCCTTCAGAAACTGACGTCACTAATTACATTAAAAAGTTAGACCTTTAACAAGAAGCACACTGACCCCAGGCTACTACATACCATACAAGATAAAACCTGCAGAACACACTGTAGGACGAGTCACAATCTGGGCCTAAAACCGTGACACTGGCGAGGACGACACACGATGAAGACAGACAAAACCTATTAACCCATAATAACCACAAGAAAATGCCACAGGGTGTGATAATCATTGCGGACAGTAGCAAGAGTGTGTGTGTGTGTGTGTGTGTGTGTGTGTATATGGATGTTGGATGGAACAAACCAAAGCTACGCAGGGCAGAAGAGAGGTCCAAGGAGTGACATGGGTGGAGATTTACAGCCAGGAAACGCCGGGCCTGGCTGCCTCTAACTGGCCCTGCCTCCTACTACCTGCTGTAAAATAGACAGTAAGACACAGAACAGGTAAAGGAGCCAGGTGACTGCCAAAATGAAAATTAGAAATGTTAGTTCAGTGTTTTTGGTTGGAGTGGGTGGAGAAAGGTGTCAGGAGTGTTGTGTGACAGAAGAGTGGCAGCAAGAATCAAAGGAAAGGTGTACAAGACAGTAGTGAGACCAGCTATGCTGTATGGGTTAGAGACTGTAGCAGTGAGGAAAAGACAAGAGGCAGAGATGGAGGTAGCAGAGATGAGGATGTTGAGGTTCTGTTTAGGAGTGACCAGGATGGACAGGATTAGGAATGAGCACATCAGAGGGACAGCTCAGGTTGGCTGTTTTGGGGACAAGGTCAGAGAGGCCAGATTGAGATGGTTTGGACATGTGCAGAGGAGGGATAGTGGTTATATTGGTAGAAGGATGTTGGAGATGGAGCTGCCAGGCAAGAGGTCAAGAGGAAGGCCAAAGAGGAGATATATGGATGTGCTAAAAGAGGACATGAAGTTAACTGGGGTGAGAGTAGAGGATGCTGAGGATAGAGTTAGGTGGAAACACATGGTTCGCTGTGGCGACCCCTAACGGGAACAGCCAAAAGAAGAAGAAGAAGTCCAGTGTTTTCATGTAACCAGGCTGTGACTAGTTTCCTTGCCATCAGGAATCTGTATTTGCTTCTATTCATTATCTGAACATATGCAAACACGGGCATATAACCTGACAAGTGTAACAATGAACTGTTGTCATACACAAACGCAATTTAAATGCAGTGATTTCCTCTGTTCTCTCACCGGTTCCTGAAAGAGCAGCACAACCATTGCTCATATTTCTTGTTGTACAAAAAAAGGTGAATTCTGAAACTAACTTGTGCAAAGGTGTTCACAGTACACCAAATTTTATTGACACAAAGGCATACAGTACTTATGTACATCTTTTTCAGTATTTACAAAATAGCCCATGGATGTTACACATGTATAAAAATATGCATTACATCTATATAAATATGTACACCGTGTGCAAAACATGGCATTCCAAACAAGAGGCATGGCGGAGACAGAGAGGAGACTACTACAATGACAAATGTAAATTAACCGGTGCGGGTGGAGAATCTTTGCACTAATTTTACCAGCCATCCTGTATCGAGTCCTCAGCTGAAAAATGCACAATAAACAGTGCAGGTGAATGAAGCCAACTAGGAGCAGGAGAGCTGAAGTTGGTATGTGAGCCTAAGCCAACAGCTCCTACTATGAACGTAGCTGATGGGAACACTAAAAGAACCTTAGGGGGTTCTTCAGGCTGCTTCCGCAAACCTCTAACAAAAGAGGATTATTCAAACAATACTCCACATAAGTACAGAGATATGAAGTGCTTTTGAACTTAGAAACTGTTCTATTACTACTGTGTGTAGTAAAGGCTCTTACTTTACAAAGATTACAAGGCAGGATCTGACATACAGTATAGTACATCAAGGGAGAGCAGCCATTAGTGCTTTTAGCCGTCCCTGTCTGGCCAGTCAGCTACAACTACCGATGGTAAGTGGTGTCACGTTGAGTGTAAATCATGTGGATTTACCGCAGCTGAGAGGTCTGTGTATAACCGATGTTAAAAAAAAACAACAACAACTCTGCAAACCAAAAATATACACATGAAACCTTTTACAGGTTTTATACAAGCACGGACATGATCAACTTTTCAAAAAGAAAAATAAATACAAAAAATGTGAGAAAAGTAAAAATTGTGACAATATGTTCCACTGCCATTTTGGCAACAAAATATGAAGACAGAAAAAAAAACAATATTAACTTATCTCTTCTAGGATAGGCAAATCAACTAGTGACGATGTAGGATTTAACATTTGCAGCAATACAAAAAAGTATATATAACTAGACCCGCAAGCTGGTATAGCAGGGTCTGAGCATCCGATACAACTGGGAACTAAAAGTGCACTGATCTGAGGCCAGCTCTGGGATTTAAACTGGCTGTTTAGCATTTCTGTTGGTAGGTGAAAGCAACAAAGAAAGCCCAGGAGCAGGTCTGTGCAGTACTTGCTATAACTGTTTCAGGTGGTCAAGTGTCTTGGTCTGATGTGATGATAAATGTGTAACTGCAGCAGTGAGAACGTCATGCTTCATCAACAAGGCAGTTGACATAAAGGGCTCTCGGTCATTTTGCTCAGATCTCCACATTACTGCTGATGTGCACAGCAGGTCAGCATTACACAGACAGAGAATACCAGGAAAAAAAAAAAAAAAATAGCCTCATTTACCGATAACCCTGAAGCGCCGACAGCTGCTAAGGAAAATGTGCCGTCGTGCCAAAACAGAAGAGAGGAAAACGCTTCTAGTGCCATGGATGAAATAACACAATAAAGTGGTTCCATTATATATGTAATTTCAAGAAACATGATTGATTCTAGAAAAATGTTTTATAAAAAAAAGCACTTATTTCAAAGTACCACAAAATTAATAATGTATCAATCCTCCAAAAAAAATACAATGACATTCTAGAGCAGTAACTCAACATTAAGGTCTGACAGGAAACAGCGACTGCAGTCCAGTAAAAAATAAAGAATTTATCACGGCTTTAAAAGGAACTAAGCCCTCTTCACTGACATCACACCTCAGAAACAGTCATCAGAAGCCATCAGAAGAGTAAAGTTATGTCAATTGGACAGCAAATAACTGGCTTTTAAAGATATTACAAAATGTTTCCAGACATCAGAGCTGTGAAAGCGCAAGGAACGGCATGAGATTAAACATGAATACAATCATGCACACAGAGACATACGTATACATGCAAAAGACAGGAGGACAAATCCACATGCACAAAGCAGCTCGCTTTCTTCTCACATACCCATGCGGTCACAAAAGTCACTTTGTCCACAGCCGCTGATGCGTCACAAGTCAGACGACCTCACCGGCCAGATATTACTTTAGAAAACCGATTCCTCCAAATGATGACTGGTTACTTGATAAGTAGGCTAGTAGATGAACTCGTGGCCTACAGGCAGTTCTGATCAGCTAGTGATGCAGCCATTTCCAACCCTGAAACACACACATACACAGAGTGCAGGGATACCGACATAAAGCTCATCTTCTCCATGGACATCTTTACCCCTTGATACAACTTGCGGCAAACGCCCCGGTTCACACCTACGTCGGTGTGCCTGCACATCTCAGACCGATATTTGTTCCCCTTCCACCGTTTCACATCAGTTTACTAGAAGAAGAAAAAAAGCTGCCAATGTTTTAAGTAAAATCCTATTTTTTGATCTTTTCAAAAGTACATTCAAAATAAGAGACTTGGACAACAGCTGCAGTGTCTCTGGAGCATTTGGCCACTTCATCATTGTGCTGCAATTATATTGATTACTTCATATGAACGATCCACGTTGGATATGCAGAGCTCACATTTCCTTGTTCTGAGGTGAACAGGGTGCGTTATCCAGTCTCTCCGATTCTTTAGTGCATAGCTCTCACATAGGTGGAGGTTCATCGTCAGTTTAATCGGTGTGACTGGAGGGGTTGCGGTAAGCCGGGAGATAACAGTCACAGCTGATACAACATATCAGATCAGTCAGCAAACACAGAATTTACAGTATGTAGTAGACTGGACCAGTGTGAACAAAGGCTTGCCCTCCTCTCATCTAGGAATCGCTTTAAACATATGGCTCACTGACTCACTGAGCACATCTGGCTTCAAATCATGAAGGGAACAGTTGAGTGCGACTGTCCAGCACCTCGCACAGGCTGAGGGGGGACTTCTCAAAGCACTTGGCTGACTGGATTAGTTGAAGTTTTCCCAGGTGAGGCGGTAGTGGCGATTACAGTATCCGAGACTGTGCCGACATTGTAAAGTCATCCCAGGCCGAGCCTCATGTGCAACTTTGCTGTGAATCTATTCTCCTTTCTGTCTTTTAATTAAAACCATATTTGATGGTCGTCTGTGTACTGTCATTTAGAGTGACACAGTTATTGTGTTGCAATCCAGACTTTTATAACCTGATATGGCACAGGGTGCTTCAGTAGAGCAAAGGCCTTCATATCAGACCACCTCCAGAAGTATTCAGGGACCCTTTCATATAATGAGCTACTGTGCAAAACAGCCAGTATTCTCTGATAGCCAGCCAGCCAAACCCGCAGTAGAAACGGCTACCTCAGCCATCAATGGTACTCGGGCTCCGAGACTGAAATTCAAGTTGTATTAGTGTGGTTTTAACGGCATTTACAAAACGGCCGCGCTAGTCGTCTTCCTTTGGCGCCATCACATTTTCTCTGTAAATCATCATTAAAAACACGACATCCGACACCGTTTAAAAACCCTTTCTCACTAACACTATGGGCGACCGCAGTCAGCTCGGTGATGATGTCATTCTGGCTGTTCGGCTGTGCAAACTCCTGCGTATATGAATCAGTGCGCTGCCTGTACAGCGGCTCCTACTGTGGAATGGGAGGAATATTACAGATGGTATGGATGGACTGTTAAAGACTGATAAAGACAGAAGTGCCACGACTGCTCCATCTTCTGCTTCCTAATGTAAAATGTTGAAACTCGGCCTCATAGTGACTCGTCGTCTTCTCTTCATCCGTCTATCGCTTGCTTCTGGCTCAGCATCTCATCCGGCACTGCTCCGTCAGTCCCAATGCAGCAGGTCATGTGTATCCAGGAAGTCTGCTGGCATCCCCAGTGGCGTGAGTGCCCCAGCGGGACCTGGCGGCATGGTGAGGTCCAGCCACTCCATATTGTCCAAAGCCGGGTCAGACAGGCCCATGTTGAGTGAGGATGGAGGTGAGGAGGAATCACAGAAAGACAGGTCTGATGTGTCCATGGGCGAGTAGGGCTGCTGATCCATCAGCTGGGCCTGCAGGTCCTCCATCAGGCCCGGTGTGCGCAGGTCTGATGTTGGCGGTGTTCCAGCCAGCGTCCCCTCCAGAAAGGCCTCCAGCTGATTATCTGTGGCCAGGGAGGAGAGGCTGAGCAGGCTGGGGTCGATGACAGGGCTAAAGGTGGGCAGAGGGGCCACCTGGATCTGTGGAGGTGGCCTGGAGAGGGCGGTGCTGACTGGCAGGGTGGTGATATTGGCTGTGACAGGGAGGGTCTTATTGAGAGGCGCTGGGGGGCCCTGCTGGATAAATGGTGCGATTTCTGGAGGAGGGGTAAAAAGGAGAAGAATAAAAACATGGACTGGTATTGAAGCTCAACCAACAGATTCCTCTTTAGACTGGTCCTGACAATGAGCGCTGGATCACAATGGGGCAAGAAAACTACAATTACCATAAAGTACAATTAAACTGCCTTAAATACTATTTAATACTTTAATCTCTTTCATTACTTTTAGTTCACCATTTCCTCATTTACTGTGTAGACCTCTCTGCTCGCTTGGAAACTACTCTTCACACACTCCTAGTTGCAATACATGGTGGTCAGGTGTTATCACTGTATCACGGTATCATATTTTTTTAATCAAATCTTAATTTCTCTTTGTTCAAATCAGTAGAGTTAGTCCACATTTTTCCACACACTCCCCTGGCAAATCGCTGGACTACATGTTGCTGTGGTTGAGGAGGAGCCTCAGTTATACTGGCAACACAAATACTGTATCTAAAAGGCTGTCATGAGCTATAGTCAGTCCAGCTCTGTTTACATAAGAGGTCAACTGAAAACACTGCTTCCTACACTTGGTTCCAAAAAGAATATTGGTCCACTGTGAAAGGTTGCAGCTGCTTCTTCAGCATTTCCATAGCTCATACTATACAGAACATTCAGGGCTGTGCTGTGCACCAACTGACCTCCGCTCTTTATGAGAATGTCAAACAAGTCGTCCATTTGCTGGCTAGTTGCCGTGGGAACCTGGAAAGATAGTGAAGTTAACAGAGTTGAGGGTGGCAACAAAAACTGAAGCAATTTCTCAAGGCTGAAAAATTTAAATCTATTTTTGTGCCTTCTGTATTCTGAAGGATACAGAGGCTGAAATCTGTTGGGAAAATGTACGGCACGGTTTGAGTTTTGTGTAGTGGAGCCTGTGTGTCTGGTGTGTCTGGCGCATCTAACCTGTGAAGCGTTGTTGACGTGCAGGGTGCGGCTCTGTTTGACTGCCTCCTCATAGCCAGGAGGCTCTCTTGTCTTGAGAGGTTGAGTAATAGTAGGCTGGAGGATAAAGGTTGGCTGGGGTGAGGGAGACTGGGAGAATGAGAGAGAGAGAGAGAGAGAGAGAGAGAGAGAGAGAGAGCAGAAGAAATAAGAACTGACCTGTGTGACAACCACTGCAGGGTGAGAAAAGTTCAAATAAAACAGTAAATCCTCTCAAAACGTATCCACCGAGTTACACAGACTGAACCTGACCAGCAGTAACAACTCTGATACCTTATTAAGGGGTCCGTTGGAGATGCGGTGACTAGGGGAAGTCCGTGGAGAGACCCTGTTGTCTGGGGAGCTTCTCAGGAAACATGGGGGGTTCATCTCAGTTCTAGTCTGGTTGTCCAAACTGGGGGTATTATTGCACATAGGTAGAGTCTGTCGAGACAACAGAGTCTGCTGTCATTATATCATTTATCAAGGTCTTGACATCATCACAGCAAAAAGAAGACAGAGATATCAGATTTACCCCCCTCTGACTCACCTGTAGTAATGGGTTTTGCTTAGCTAACTGCTGGCTGGGTGCCATCTCCATCTTAGTGCTCTGCAGCTGAGGAATGGAGGCCCGGACCAGGCCGGGATTAGAGACCGTGGCCTGAAGAACAGGCTGACATGAGGGAAAAGCGTCAAGTGTTTGGTCTCACAAGACAACTACACATCCAGCTGTCAAACACCATCCTGCCATCGTTAAAACTAAGGTGCGACTCTACCTTTTTGAAATCTTACCTGCAGACTGACAGAGGGGCTTGGAAGCTGGATTGCAGTAGTTTTGTTAGGTAGGGAGACTGGGAGGAGGATCTGAGTTCCTGCCTGGCCAGCTGTGGTTAGCAGGGTCTGAGGCTGAGCCAGCATCTGGGAGACTCCACCTGGGTGGCTGATGAAGAACTGCTGCAGGCTGGGAGCTACAGGTTGGGACTGGGGCTGGGTCTGGAGTTTGGGACTTCTCTGTGACTGGGGGAGTAGCTGCGGGCTGGTGGTTACTTGGGGCTGGGCTTGGGGCTGGATCTGGGTGATGAGCTGAGTTTGGGTTTGGGTCTGGAGCTGGAGCGGCTTTCCAGAAGAAATGGTCACATCCTCTAACTTCACCACAGCTGGCAGGGGGCTTGTGAAGGCCCGGGGGCCCTGCACGGAGTTAGGGATGGTAGTGGATGAACAGTTTGACAGGACTGTACCCTCCATTTTTACTACATTTGAGTTCAGGACAGTAGGAACAGGATTCATGGAAGGTATAGATGTGAGTTTGGGAGATACAGAGGAAGAGTCAGCAGTGCCACCACCCTGGCCTCTCTTCTCTACCTCTAGCTGCATCTTCAGCTCTTCCACTAATCTCTGCTCCTGCTCCAGCTTCCTCATCAACTCTTCTATCTGCCGTTCCTTCTCATGGAGCCTCCTGTCCTTTTCCTCTGGGACTTGAAAAGATGGGAGAGATGCTGAGCCAGAGCTCACCATCTGAGCTTCAGAAAGAGCCTCACACATGCCCACATCCTGCTGGAGGCTGGAGGAATCAGTGGGAATGGGTGAAACTGGAGGAGTGGAGCTCATGTTCTCTGGAGCCACCTGCTGGACTGGGATTACTATGGCAGAGGTGGCAGTAGTAGTAGTGGTGACTTCCATGGGAAGGGAGGAGAGGGTTGTAGTGGAAGGAGGGATGGTGGTAGGAGCAGAGGTGCTGGGGCTGTCTTGGAAAGGCTTAAGTCTTTCTATCAGATCAGTCTTTGTTCCTGACACAGGGAGGCCACGCAGCTTTAGCTCCAGTTTTAACTCAGCCACCTACAAAGATATAAGTATGATCAGGTCAGCCTTTTAGATTCATGCTAGAGAAAGAAACAGAACATTTTAAAAGAGAACAGTTTCATATGTTTGGAAAAACATGCTTGTTTGCTGAGAATTACATGTTTCTGTTTGTTAAATATGTAGTTACAGCTAGTAGACAGCTTGCAGCATATAGACCGGAAACTAGGGGCTAGGTCGGGGCTAACTGATTAACATATTGTGCACAATCTGTTAAAAACATACTTTTAAAAACTACATTTTAAAAAAAAATATTTTGAATGCAAGTCAAACAACAAAAACACTGATAAAACTGAACAAACTTCCTAAAGACAAAACCTTGTAAAATCTTATATAGGGTTCTCAGATTTCTATAAACACATTCTTGTACTGGCTCTGTAATATCTAGATACTGTTTGGATTTATCAGCTGTGCAGGCTTATGAAGCCAGAAGGCTCATTCCCCCTTCACTCTATAATTATTACAACTGCTGGGGCATGCTGTTCCAAGCTGCAAGGGTGAAGAGCTTGCTTGTACAAGCGGGTTTTCAAATACCTTCATCTCCTCCAGGTTGGCAGGCAAGACTCCTGGCTTGCGGTGTGACAGCGAGTTGTTTGGTCGAGCCGCAGCTGGAGGGGGAGGGGGAGGCGCAGTGGGCAGTGATACCACGATGGAGGTCGGCAGGCTACTGGCAGTGCTGCTCTGACCCTCTGCCACAGGTCTACGGAGAGAATCGGACACAAAAATGAGGTCATTGTTACTGGAGGAAATGGTTTACACTACTTCTGTATCACATCAATGAGAAACAGAAACGGAGGAAGAAGAGGTGGAAGAGAGGGGAGGTGGACAAAATATTTATTGCAGAGATAACTGGGAAGAGAGAAACAGAGGAAACAAAGAGAGGAAGTCTGTTCCCAGTTTAACATCCATCCTGTGCCCTGCACCTCACAAAGCCAGTTAACCAAACCACAGCACATCTGCCAGGCCACCACTGAGGGGGCATTCATGAAAAACAGCAGCTAGTGACATAATATCCTGTTAGTTAATAATATGATTAGACATGGTAGCTGTTATTGGAAAACTAGCTAATGGTCCTCTGGGTTGTTAAAAACAATATTTGGCTTGCTTGCAGATAGAGTTATGGAGACGAGCCCGAGCGGATAAAAGAAAAGCTAAGCTAAGGCTAAAAAAGTGTGTATATAAATAACACGATACAATTATTTTTTCTTATGTGGGAAGTGGGAGTCATGGGTTGTAGCAGTAATGTTTTATATACATACTTGAGTGGTGCTGGTAATATAGCCTGGTAGTTGTAGTGCTGCTGTTGCTGGCTGAGGATCTGTAGCTGGAGGAACAGCTGCTGCTGCTGCAGTAGTCGGGCATAGGAAGAATCCATGGGTGCTTCACTGGCCTCCTGCTTCTGATCTGGGGGAACATACTGGTGGTACTTGAGCTTCTTCACCCTGGGCTTTGACTCTTTGCCCTTCTTACTGCGACTCTTCTCTGCAGGCACCTTCTGCTGGCTTTGCTATTGTGGGAGGAAGTGTGAACAATTCTTAACATATGGTTTGTTCATCAGCAGTCACATAAAAATAGTGGTATTTCATTTAGATGTGGAAAAGAGTGCCCCCTACTTTCACCAGTGTTGGGCCTGGTTTTGAAGGAGCAGCAGGAGGTACTGGCTGAGCAGGAGACGTCTCTGGACAACTGACAGGAGGCTCAATGGTAGAGATCACTTTCACAAAGTCTGTTGTTGCTTGTGTAGCAACAGGGAGGGCCTGAATACAGATTTAAAAACACATTCTGATCTGCAACACAAACACTAACTTCTCACAAATACTGTAAAGTCCAGTATCAATTTTATAAAGTTAGAATAAACACTGAGGGAATGCTGGGCAGGCATACACACTGGCACTTATTCTCCATCTGACCTGCAGCATAGTACTGGGGAGTGGTGGGAGTGCCAGGGCAAGAGAGGGCGTCTCTGGCAGTCTGTTCTCTCCTGGTGAGGGGACAGAACACTGAGACTCCTGGCTGGCTGGCTGCTCTGGGGACAGGGCATCACCACTGTCTTCATCCAACACCCTGTGATAATTCACCTGGCCCACTGACAGACAAACGAATACACACAAAGAGGTAAAGCCTGTATATCCACTCACTGCATTTCTTTCTCTCCAGTTCCCTTTATTATGGTTGTACAAACAAAGATAGTTTCTGACAATCTCCATTAAGGCAGAAATGCATTAAAAGAACTGTCTAAGACAGTAGCTCCCAGTTGTTTGTTTTCCAGACGTACCCCCCACAGCCCTGCCAGACAACCCCTTCGTCACCACCACCAGTATATTGTTGTCAATTTTTCATAGAGTTGAACTAGTTGGTTTGGTCAAGCTCCTCTTCATTTTGCAGTGAAAGAAGCTACCATTTATATAATCTATTTAATTAACCATTTCAAACAGTTTATCCATAACTGTTAGTTAACTTTGTCAACTGTTAATCTCGTGCTTTTTTCCCCTGCATCTCACCAATGATGGCCTGTTTAAGGCTGGAATCCACTGGCAGGATGTTCTTCTCCACCAGCTCCATTGGGCCGGGCCTCTGGGCAATCTTCTCGTTCAGGTTGTCGGCCAGCCGGGCCCTCTTGAGCTTCATCTGGGTGGCCTGTAGGGAGGGCTCTGCTCCAGTTTCTGAGAGATGAGACAAATAAGATGACACATGTATAGGGTTTTCCATCTTAAGAACCTACTGAAGCATATGACGCTGAGTAACAGGTTCTGTGCTCGTTTCCACTACGGTGCGCCCGCTTTGGAGGTGTGTTCTGGGACCTAAATTTTGGCACCCCTCAGGAGGCAGTACTAAAAATAATGTACCAGAAAAGCGGGGGTGGGATGGGGGGTTGGCGTGCAGAGCAGTCATCAGTGAATGGTTAAATGTCTGCGTCTTCATACCTCAAGCATTAGCATTACAAGCACAGTGCGTAAACACACAGTTGACTGTGTGTGTGTGAGAGGTGCAGCCCCTGCTCTAAACAGAGACCTACAGAGAGAAAATACAGTGGAAAAACAAAACAGGATGATCTGCATCAACCCTGGAGGCTATGCTTGGTGATGGTTAAGAGAAGTGTGGAGAATACCGCTCGTTAGGTTCTGACAGTGGAAACGCAGCAATACTACAGTACAGATCATACAAATCAAGATGTCTTGATACGGTAATGTCAGCTAAAAGATTTCAGCTAAAATGTTTGTCTGCATCATATCAAGTGCCTATTTAAATCCTGTGATAGTGCAAATGAGTAACATTTTAAAAGGCTTCCTTCAGTATTAAATGTTCTAAAGTGGTAGCTGTGTTCGTGCTAGCACAGCTAAATAAATACAGAAGGAAATGCCTTATTCTATTAGGCCAGTCCTTCTATCCCAATATATTAACAGTGGACAAGGAAACACCACATAAAACAATGGGCGTATGTAGTGCTAACTAGACAATCAACAGTACCTTGCAGGATATGCATCCTGACCAGCTCCGCTCTCTCTGGACGACTACGGATCTTGTGCTTCAGGAAATTCTCAGTCTAAAGACAAAAATGAACACAGATCAATCAGTAAATTGTCAGTTTGTTCATGTCCACTGAGCACAGTCCAGTGCATTTTCTGTGCTTCTCAAGTTCAGATGTAATGCTTTATTTCCCAGCATAGTGTCTTACCCTGGCTCTCTCCAAGCTGCGGATCTGCCCATGGAAAGCGGCTGGGCTCTTGAGAGCTGCAAAATAGCATTTTCATCAATGCACGAGTCTAAGCACAATTCTGACCAATGATGTGATCCAAATAAAAAAAAAAAAATTGAGCAAACATGTTCATTATTACAGCTGTCAGTAGGAACCAGGCTCCTAGTTTGATATCATTCACCCACTTGCACCACATGCACATTTCGGTGAGTGACGGATGACTGATGGTGCCGATACTCACGTGGCATGATGCCCTGGTCCGCCAGCTGCTCTCTGGTTCGCCTTTGCTGAAGCCTCAACTGCAGCACTGAAGGGAAAAGACAAACACAATCTTATAAACAAAAAAATAAAGCATTTGGTCTGTAATGTTAAGTAGAAATGACAGAGGAAAACCATGAGCAGAAGAACAAGAGGGAGGCAGGAAGAAGAAGAAATAGATGAGTTAGTACACAAAAAGAAAATGGGATGACGATGTGAAACTGAGGAAGTAACCGTATACTGACCTCTACCCACCCCCATTGCCTAACTCATATCCTACTCTCTAGTCATTAGGCTGACTTAAAGAAATAATAACAGTCATGATAATGAAATGACACCAGCTATTCATATACTGACATTAAAAGCCAGCAAAAGTCTAACTCAAGTCCAAAGTTCTGAGAGCAATCGAGTCCAACTTCAGTCCCCAGTAGCTGCTGAAGGGGTTTGGTTGGCAGGATGGCGCTTCATATTTTTTCCTCCTCTAAGCCCAACATTGCACCAGGGTATGAAATATCCCAGGCTGGTATTATGAGCTCACAAGCATGCTGCTTTAAGGTTTGCACAACTGCTACTCAAAACTAAAAATGGTACAAAGTGATCACAAGAGGCAAAAACAAACATCCGCCACCAAAATACAATATACATACGATTTCATTTATTCCACCTCTTTACTACCATGTATTAACATGGTGGGTATTGATGCGATTCTCAAACCGGTGCCTCCCATAACTGATGTTCTCTTAACGCTCGACACCTCCACAACTCAGCCGGCAGCAACATTAACCTACTTGAGCAATCCCATCACAATAACAGACAGAAGAGGTGTGCTCACCCGCCCTCGCTCTGAACCTATTGCAGCACTTGCAGAGTGCCTCCACCTCCATCGTCCTATGGTCCCAGTCTATAAAACAGTCCCAACTATGTGATTTAAGCTATTTAGCTGCAACTTGACAGCATTTTCACTAAAGCCCAAGATATGCTGCTTATAGTCATAATGTCTCAACTCTAGTGAAACATGATCAACACTTCTAAGAATTTTTCTGTCCCTCCCCAACTTATTTTTTGTTTCAAGGCTGCAACCCCTGCCTCCCCCTCTACTCAGACTTCCCTCTTTCACTCATACAGTTGGGGATTAGTTACTTTCTAGCTGTATATGATCCAAGCACAGTCAGACAGAGGGCTACTACACTGGTTCCTTGTAACTACGGAGGAACAGTTAAGTATCTGACTCAGCACTGACATGTAAATATGCAATGATTAAGGGCACCAATGACGGCATCTTAAAGCTAAAAGGGCGAGCTTGTGGCATCAAGTACTTTTTATCAATTGGATGTGATTTTACGACTAGGCTTACAACAGACAAAAGAGTTACAATACATTAAGTAAAACATGTAGCTATGTACATAATGAACACTGACCATGAGAACAGACACTTCTCCATTCACAGGAAGAGAAGTGTCTAAACTTAGGGAAATACAATCTCTTGGTCAGTCAGGAAACATCTGGCCTCAACAACTTTGAACTTTCATTACTGTCACAGATATGCTGAGGTGGTATGCGTAAGTTGACTGTACCCATATGTCCCTGAGTAAGACACTTACTTGGTGACTTGGTACATATAGATGTCATAAATCTTTACATACTTTGCGTGAAAAAACTGTGACCATAACATGATGAAAGTACAATTGCTCCAACTTAGAGAAATGCAAGACAGATTGGCTCCTGTTTATACACTAACAGAGAACTTTTGTTAGTTAGGTGAGTAGGGGTTATGCATCCCTGAAACAGATGAGCAACTCTGACCCCAGTGGACTCAGTAAACAGCTGGAGAAGGTATGCAATGGGGACATGTTTGTTCAAGGTGATTCATATGGACTTCCAGTCTGTGGCATTGTCCTGAACACCTCCAGGAAATACTGCTCAGCCTGACACTCACATGTTGACCTGCGACCTCAGCAGGCTGAGGGGAGATGGGAATGACATGACCAAACTGTTCATTTGTACAGACACACAGTCGGACGATTAGGGGTTTAAATCCACATGCTCACATGCACATTTAGGTTCTACTTTTTTTTAGGTTAGTAAGACTATTCCAAAATTATCACACTGTCACTGTAAAATAACTGCAGATATGTGGTGGTAACATGACTTTATCCAGACCCGTCTGAAATATGCTTTAACAAGGGATGTATCCCCTGTTATATAGGCTACTGAGACTTAGAAAGAGGAGCATTACAGTGTATAATGGTGCAGTGGTCAGCACTGTTGTCTCCCAGTCAGAAGAAGAGTGGTTCATAACCCACAAGGGTGCATGCCGATTCCATTTTTTTGTTTTTTAAGCACATGCGCACACACACACAATTTATACTTCATTGTGAGGACATTCATTGACATAATACACTCCCTAGCCACTGACCCCAACATTAACCATCAGAACTAAATGCCTAATTCTAACCTGAACACTAAAACCAAGTCTTAACCCTCAAAAAGGTGTTTTGGAAAGTGAGGACCGGCCAAAATATCCCCACTTTCTCTCACATCCTCACTATCCTAACCTAAAACCAAGTCATCGCTCTGAAATCCCCACAATTTGACTGTGTAAACAGATTTACATTCCCACAACATAAGTAATACCAGGCCACATGCTTGGCGAGTCCATGGAGGAAACCGAGGCTTGAACAAAAGCGTGTGTGTGTGTTTGTTTCATGTGCTGCCAATAATGCCATCTAGAGGTACTGTGCATGTAAAACTGGTTCAACAACCCAAAGAATTATTAATTCACATTTCCAAGCACCGCAGTCAATCATCTTATGCTATCTTTTGTTTCTAGCCTTGCATCCTTGGCAAACTGTCAATAACCTTTGTGATTTCATTTTAGAGGCTGCCTCTTATGGCCAGGCTCTTGTTCCATGTCACAACAAACTCTGGCCTGAGTCTTGACAGAGCACTGCTCCTCTTCTCCCTCCAGACTTTCTGAGCTGCTGCCTTGTGCCCCACATAACTAAAATGGTCGTAGACACTCAGACCTGTCATGATGGCTGACAGATTAACACCTACACCTGCAGGTTAAAACCCAGATGAGAGAAGGAACTCTGTGATTGGCAATGCACTGGGGAAGGCTCACAGGGTGCAAAGTATTAGGTGTGTGCTCTCACTGGAGGGGAAATGACAAAAATGATGAGTGGGCGCTACTACTGCTGACATTCCACTGAGATTCTCCACTGTAAGGATGTTTTACTTCACTCTCTGTGTTTGATCCAGTCTGAGACTGCTCTGGCTACACACCCTGCATTTGTTGACTGTATCAGACAAAGATTTTCAGGGCCTGGTGATAAATATCGTGGTGACTGAATTAAGCTGATCTCCCTAAGCCATGTAAGCCATGATTAGGAACTGGCAAACAAGAGCATATCTAACCCGCTCCTAAAGCTGAGTAATGGCGTAGCCATCCATCAGGGTCTTATAGTCAGTCCCATGCGCCTGCCAAAACAAAACCAATATTGTGATGGTGATGACAACCCAGCAAGCAGACTGGTCAGTACCATCGGGAGAATTTCATTTGTGCACTGAAAACAAAAAGCCGTTTCAAGTTTCAGGAGTTGAGGACTGACTTTTATGGTTCATTTTGAACATATTACTTGATTCAGGGAGTATGTGCAATAATAAGCATTTAACACTAAACTGGGTTGCCATGTTAGAGGAGATGCAACAAAGACAAAGATCATGTTGTTATTACATATAGTGGGGGAAATATGTTTTCAACACATCAACATTTGTTTATTAAACATAATTCCAGTACATGAAATTAAGACAGGTCAATAGTATGAGTAATCAATAACGCAACATAGCTAGAAATGATAGAAATCGTAAGGTGGAAGAAGTATCACTCCACCATCAACTGGCCATATGAAGAGCTCCTCGCAAGATTTCTGACTGGGCAGAAGGAATTTAGTCAGAAGAGTCGCCCAACATCCAAGGACCACTCCACAGGAGCAGCAGGGGTGTAACGACCCCGCAAATCCAGTTTGGTTCAGATCTCTGGTTTTTTTGTTTTGTTTTTGGGGTGATGCACGTGTTATTTATGAAATGAAAAATGAGTTTTGTGAAATTAATAATGTAATGAGAGCTCAAAGGCAGCAGTAGGTGCAGGTTAGGGTTTTGGGAGGGAGTCATGGTTTTTGTACCTTATCTCGGTTTCCAGTTTCTGATCAGAATCGTTACACCCATAACAGGACATATTTTTTGGCAGACAGAGGTGACTTTCCATCCTCATTAATGAGCCTTCTGTCCAGGTATTTCATGTCAGGCCTGTAGAGCAGCATGGACTCACCATTTTTGCGTTCATTGAGTGGAGGCAGACTCTGTGTGGGCTGCAGCGACAGCTCCTCCATCTCATGGGTCACCGCCTCGCTCTGGGGACTAGGCACCAGCAGACCCAACATCCCACAATCCCCTTCTGCTCCTAGCTGCCCCTGGGAAGCCTGTGGTTCCATCCTGCCTCAGGAGGGGAATTGGGGGGGTCCCAGGCAAGCAACGGGGTTATGGGTCGCTGTCCCTTTGTTATGTCTCGCTGCTACCTGTGTGGATACAAAGCAAGAAGAGGGAACAAGGAGTTGGAAGAAAAACATAAGACTGCTCTACTTCTCTTGCTGTACAACTTAAGAGGGATATTCTGTGGGCTCTTCAGAAACACCAGCGTCCTGTTGGTATGACTACTTCACCCAACTGCTGAAATGCTAAGAGTGGCAGTTCACGTCAACCGTCTGGAAGCCCAACTTATTCATTAAATGAGCTGGGTTGGCCATTACACTGACTAATCACTTCAAACTGCTGCTCATGAGAAACAGCGCCAGTTTGTGCATGAATGTCCTCTCTGTTCACACAGGCTTCATAATCTGGAACATGACATTGCTGTGGTGGTTTCAAACCAAAGGAACGGAAACATTTCAGGGGAGGAAAACAAACACTTTAGTATCCATGGCCTCCTAAGTGTGTCTTAGCCAGCAGATGACAGACTGCACAGTCTGAACATGTATGATATTTACCGCTCTCCAGCAGTACCCACATCTATCTATTTCAGGACATAAGCACTTTATACCGACCATAGTGATGTGTAGCTTTTGGCTGTGAACCCCTATGTTCAAATGGCTGCCATTATCTCTCCCTGTAGGTCCTTAAAGTACCAATGGCAATAGATGATCCAGGGAGTCTATGGGATGTAATCGACCACATTTTGCTTCAGCACATCTGAACATTGCCCATTCTGGTTACGGAATGCTGATGCTCAGTAATACCATCCAAACACAAGAAATTGTAAGGCCATTGCTTCACCATCTCCTGTTCTGCTTTTTCCCACCACTAAAGGTTTTATATGATCATAACTTAATAAAAATGAAAAGTTTAGTCAAACACATACACAGCATGTGTATGTAATGCTGAGACTTTTCAGCAGACATTTTCAGCTTTATTGAGCTGCACCAAAACTGATTTGCACCATATTTTCACATGCATCCTTTGTGTCCCAATCACAGCAGTTTAGAATAGGGTAACATAATTGGGAGTGTTAAAATATGGATTTGTGCCCCTTTTTTCCATCATAATTTCACTTGTTTTTAATACATTAATTAATTTTAAATAAAATACTAATAATAAATGTTCTTAAACAAACAAACAAAAAAATCCCTAGCCAGACCATTAACACGGGTCACAAATAAATAAATAAAGCTTCAAGACTTGTCATAAATATACCTAAAAAGAAATATATGTAGTAAAAAGTTAAGCAATCACATGAAAATGAGCTCGGTGAGGCATTTCATTAAAAAAGCAACCTAATGGCACTGCACTAACTGAAAAATACTAATATGAATATAAAAATGCAGCCTCTGCTGATCATATTAAAACATGTTCTGATGTCTAATTTTCCATTAGGAAATGTAAACCTCCTCATCATATATAGCATGTTCTGCTATATATGACTAGTAGGCTTTTCCCAGGTTATATTTACCTAAATCTATTGCAGGACCTAATAAATAACATGAGCACAATTAATCAATTGTGAATATGATTTTCTGGTTATTTCAACATTCACATTAGATACAGTGAGGAACAGAAGTATTTGAACACCCTGCGATTTTGCAAGTTCTCCCACTTAGAAATCATGGAGGGGTCTGAAATTCACATTGTAGATTCATTCCCACTCTGAGAGACAGAATTAAAAAAAAAATTCAGGAAATCACATTGTATGATTTTTAAAGAATTTATTTGTCCTGCACTGCTGGACATAAGTATTTGAACACCTGAGAAACAGCAAGAATTCTGGCTGTCAAAGACCTGTTACTGTGCCTTGAAAACGTCCACCTCTACTCCACTCATTAATCTAAATTAGTAGCACCTGTCTGAGCTCTTTAAAGACACCTGTCCACCCCACAGTCAGTCAGACGCCAACTACTACCATGGGCAAGACCAAAGAGCTGTCAAAAGACACCAGAGACAAAATTGTGGACCTCCACAAGGCTGGAAAGGGCTACGGGGCAATTGCCAAGCAGCTTGGTGAAAACAGATCAACTGTTGGAGCAATTGTTAGAAAATGGAAGAGGCTAAAGACGACTGTCAGTCTCCCTCGGACTGGGGCGCCATGCAAGATCTCACCTCGTGGGGTATCACTGATGATAAGAAAGGTGAGGAATCAGCCCAGAACGATAGGGAGGAGCTGGTCAATGACATGAAGAGAGCTGGGACCACAGTTTCAAAGGTCACTGTCAGTAGAACACTACGCCGTCATGGTTTCAAATCATGCATTGCACAGAAGGTTCCCCCTGCTCAAGTCATCACATGTCCAGGCCCGTCTGAAGTTTGCCAAAGACCATCTGGATGATCCATTCTGTCTCTCAGAGTGGGAATGAACCTACAATATGAATTCCAGACCCCTCCATGATTTCCAAGTGGGAGAACTTGCAAAATCGCAGGGTGTTCAAATACTTCCGTTCCTCACTGTACCTTACTTTCTAAGACTTTGTGCTGTGAAGTAAACAATAGTATCTGTTATCTGCTGTGCATGTGACATTTTGGGAGTGTGCATTTAACTCAAGTATTAACATGGTATTCGGTTTCAGTTCATTTAGCATTTACTGGAAATCTGAACGGCTGCCATGTCGAATCTGGCCACCGCTGTAAAAATTCACCCGCTGCTCTAAACTTGGCTCCTCACCCACAGACATTTTCTGGCCCCTTAATGATGATCAAGGGGCAAAAAACGTCATGTTTCAGACATAATTGAGGCCTTGATGTTTAGCCTCAGTGGTTTTCTGTGACTGAACTTCAGTAACAGATCTCCACTAACAGAATGTTCATTCATTTGACTTGTAGCATGTAAGCACTTCCTACAGTTTACAATCAAACAATGCATCCTGTTCTGTGAGGCTTTATGATACGTGAATTTTCTAGGCTACATCAAAACCGTTTTACCAAGGACTCTAAATGTATTGACCATGGTCAGGTGCTATTTGTTTCTCTCAGGTTGGCTTTCAGTGAGAGAAGGAGGTTGTGTGGCAATGAAATTCAACATGAGCCAGCTAGTTCCTTGATTTCACTCTTTGCTTCACAATCATTTTTCATCCCCTCACTTTCTCCAATGGTGGGTTCACACATACGGATTCTGCTACTTTGCATCCATGTGTGTGAATGCACCATAACAAAGAGATGGAATATGAATTATTATGACTGGACTAATTCCCATTTAAGCATATGGCCCCTAATGCAGAACTAATACAGTATCTTTTGCTAAATGATGTTGGTATATGCGCTCCACATTTTGACTGGAATCAAATAATGACAGGTTTACAAAAAACTGCACAAATACAGAGGAGAAATTATATATAAAAAAGAAATACAAATATATTAAGCCCCTTGCAGACATGTGGTTGTGAATTTTCAGGCTACATGTAGCTGTGTAGCAGTTGCTTTTTGGCACTGTGTGACGTTTCTGGCAACGCTTTGTTCAGGACCTAGCCAGGTACAGCCACAACGCTCATGTGATATCCACCATCACATGAGGCAGATAAAAAGCAACACAGGTTACTTTTTATTCTTGCTAGTAATTGTTCATCCTCCATGCAGAGGAAGGACAGTTCTCTGATGTCCATATCGGATCAATTTGCAGCCTTTCTGCTTTACCTCAGAATGCTAAGGAGTGAATGAAGCGAGGCAGCGGTGTTAGTGAGACAAACAATACAGTGAATCAGAGAAAATGTTGTGCATTATGCTGTAGCGCTGTCTCATCTTGAACGTGCCCTTATGGGCAGACATGTAGCCAGTTAGAATGTAACTGGTCTGGCCAGGTAAAATTTCCCCTAACAACTTTTCTGGCTAAGTGACTCAGTGCTTTGTTCAGACATCACCTAGACATGAAATAGCTGGCAAATTCCTGGCTTGGGATGCATATCTGAAAGGGGCTTCAAAGAGTGAATAGCAATCTCCTAGATCAAATTGTGTGTGCCATGCCATACATGGATGAGAGGCTACTACATCTATGGGAAGGCAAACCATACTGTTAATGAATCAATGAAAAACAGTCATTCTGAGTGCATTCCTACCAGTAGTAGCAGAGGACAGCAGGGATGGAGGAGAGAGAAGTCTGTGCTGGTTGCTGTACACAGTCACACTAAGCCATGGAGTCAAACCTGGGAGGAGAAAGAAACAAGCAAACATTACAAATCATAAATGCATCACTATAAAACAACAAGAAGTGCTGCGCCAGGAGGTATTTCTTTTATTTTTGGTGACATTAGAAATATCCAGCTCTCACTGCTATGATGTCTCTGTTTATCCCAAACAAATAACCACCACTGAATTACTACCACTGAACAATTCTACCAAGTAAAAATAAAGTGAAAGATGCTCTGCTATTTTAGAGCAGGCACTGAAAAATAATCCAACAAAGAGGGGTACATTTTTAAAGGTAAAAAACTGGAGAGAAACAACTACCTGATGCTAATGAGATACTATGCTTTTAAGTTTAAAGTGCATCAAAAAATAATACTGTGAAAACAGGTACACACGCACACACACACACACACAGCTCAGACAGCACCAGATAGTGATGATGCTTGAAAAGCTGTGTTTAGAAATAAGAACAGAATAAAATAGGTGACTATCATGTAAAGATGCTTGAGAGAAGAAATAAGAACAGAATAAAATAGGTGAGTATCATGTAAAGATGCTTGAGAAAAAAAAAACAAGCCCACTCTCAAGGATGCAACAAGGTCTGAAAACAGATATTCACTGGTTGCTTGGAAAACTTGCAATGGTCTCTGTGACAATGGAAGTGGATCCTAGATGTTGAAACAATAGATACTCTTGGTACTGATGACTATAAAGGCTCACACTGCTGTCTGAGGGAGATGCACTCAGAATAAGAATCATCGACCACACACTCAGATGCTCTCAGGACATGTACTTAGTATACAAAGCATATACTCATGTATCAATTTACTGGCACTCTCATGCTATACAGTATGCCTGATATTAGCCAGATTGTATAATGTTACAGCATCATAAAAACTGTTCAAAATTGCAATGACTTTTTAATTCTTTGCTAATTTACAGCTTTTAAAAGATTTCAGTCATTAATTCTTCATTTACACAAAGATGCCTTAGTTTCAACAGGAGCGGTTTGTGGCTATGATTTTCTGAAGCCATTACAAAACATTTTCACTTGCAATGCATTGATTCCTCTGGGAATACAAGTCTTAGAGGGATGAATGCTGAGTTCTTGCACAGTTTAGGCATGAAAATAAAAATAAAAAAAATAACTCGCATACTAACATTAAAAAAGTGTGTATTAGCTGAAAAGGTAAAAAAGCAAAACCAACATCTGTCAGTGTGCAGATTTGATGGGAGACTGAGGCATTACAGCAGACTGAGCACCACATGCTGTGTATGTCTATATATTGGGGACAAAGTGAAAATGAGGAATGATGGTGGGTGAACCAGTGAGAGAGGAAGAGGGCTGTGAAAGAGAGAGGAAGAAACAAACAACTGTCATGGCTGACGAGGCGCTGTGGGATAAACTACATCAAAAAGCAGATCCAGATCTGCCCTCGATTGGTCTTTTAATGGCGGGGGGAACAAATTCCATGTGCTTCCTCAAAGGGTAGTGAACTCATACTATACAAAGAAACACAAGTAAACACGCTAGAGTCAAACGGGGGCTCAGAAATGAAGGGGCACTGGCTATTCATGTTGAGGCGCAGCAATACAGTCTTTCTTCTGCACACAGGTTTAAACCAATAAATGATCAGTCAACCCAGTAAAAAGCTCACAAGTGATGTATTTTTCTGCCACTGGGTGGTATTAGACATTTTAAACAAGGCACAGGTAGGGTCAAAGCAGAAGCCCACACTTATGCCAATCGTCAAGAATGTACTGAGTAATAACAGCCATATTAACAAATGTACCCATCCCATCCCTGTTGGCACACAGCCTTGTTTGTTGCTAAATGAGTTGCCAAGTAACAACCTGTCATTTGGTCGGCTCAACATGTCATTAAGACAAACGATGTTGAAGAAAAAAAGTGATGAAGAAAGCCATCACTGCTGAAAAAACTAACAACCATCCATTACTGTGAAAAGGGTCGCAGGGGGTGGGGCTGGAGCCAATCCCAGCTGACATTGGGCGGGGGTACGATCAACATTGCATGTCTTTAGACTGTGAGAGGAAGCCAAAAGTACATGTAGAGAACCCACGCAGACACAGGGGAGAACATGCAAACTCCACACAGAAAGTCACAGGCTTGACTGAGGATTGAGCCCGTAGCCTTTCTGCTGTGAGGCGACAGCGCTAAACACTACTCCACCATGCTGCCCAAAACTTTAACAACACTACCAAAAACAAAGCCTTGAAAGTACAAGAACCCCACTAGACACTCAACAGACTGTCAAACGCAGGAGCCCCATGCTCTCACTGGAAGAGCTATAAATACATCCTCCCAACAGGACCAACCTGAGATATTTTACACAGAGGATGGTGGTGGTCTGAAGCTATTTCTCTATATTTGCTCAATGCAACACTATACCATTAACTGTGGACTTTCTGATTAACTTAAAACACTGACTCCACATTTAATCTGTATTATTATATGCACAGCACTACAAGATCACAGTTCAACTGGGTTATCATTTGAGTCCACATTTCTGCTGTATTATGATGGTATCTGGGTGTGACTGCCCCCCTGAAGCTGTTCTTTTGTCTCTCACATGCAATGCACATGCAATAATGTTTTACTGGGAGTGTCTGTCGTTATGCGAGTTAGTTATTGTGTGTCAAATTTAAAACTGTACATACAGACGAACAAAATATTTCCAATCATGTTTTCAGCAAAACAAGCTGAATAGCTTTGCAGCCATTCAGAGAAGTCACCACTTCCCAGGGTCTGCCTACTGACAAGATGGGGTCATGGGTCAGCATTACTACACATAGGCCTGGCTGTGAGGACTTCTAGTGATAAAGTACCCAGAGGTATTCACATACACACATATTCACTCAACTGACAGCATGAGATAACTGAAATCCACAAACAGTTAAAGAGGTCTGGTTTCTATTAAGAACATTAACCACTGACAAACGCCACGAAACACTGATACTGCACCAACAGTAATAAAAAAAAACCCAAAACCTAGATATATGATGCCCTGGATGGCTGAGAACCATCTTAGAAAAATCCTACTGACGAAAAACTAAGAAAATGCATTCTGAGAGACATACATTATTATAAATACTTTGGTGATTGCTAATGTTGCTATTATCATGCACTGTAAGCCATCAAACACAAACAGAAAACGCATACAAGCACACAAACACCTAAGTTTGCGGTTTTTTGGGACCGCTTCTTGTCCAAAGTAAAAGCCAGCTTTTATCCCGAGATAAGAGAGAAATGATGTCACTGTGGCTCACTCGCAGGAATCAGCGTCCTGCTCTGTTCCCAGAGACACACGTCGTTTCCTTCCTGGTTGCCCTTGTTGACTTTTGCTGAAAAGATCCTCTAAAAACAGAACAAATAGACTGGTCAAGCAAAAGGGGGAAAAAAGACCAATAGTCCATACCTAGCCAAACTTCAACAGCCTTAATGTGAAATGACACAAGTTGTAGACTGCTGCCTGCGCTGAAGTGTTAAGTACTGTAGGCTTGTCATGTAAAGTAGTTTCCAAGACATGAATTCAAATCTGAAAAACACACCCAGGGCGGCACGCATGTGTGCAGGTTTTCTGTGGGTAAATAACTATAGCATGTCAATACTAAGAAGTCATGCAGCTCAGTCTGAGTCTGATTTGGCACAATCACTGCAAGGGGAAAGCAGTCCAGTATTACCACATTCTACATTTGTGGATGAAGACCAATCACTATAAAAATCTGGCTTTTCTCCACCATTGTAAGAGAGGTAGCTCTACTCCTGACACAATATCCTCTGCAGGTGAGTGTATTGTCTGAAATGCGTACACTTGTAGTGAGAGCTATGCAGCTGTACACAGGAGGACTGCTGTAGAGACACCAAACATGTTGCCACTGTACAGGACATGTACTGTGTATATATATGTTGGTTACTAGAAAAAGCCATGAAAGAAGTGGTTGGATCAGGGTTTCCACAGACCAATGAACCAATATCAACCAAGAGCCATTGAAAAACCACTTTTCAATTTTTTAGAGGCACATGCTACATCTGTGGACTGGACACAACTGCAGCATGCAGCTTGCTTAAGCCAAATGAATGAAGGGATATTGTACTCACCCAATTAGGACTTTTTTTTTTTAAATAATGTCTGAAAAAGGACATGGACGTGGTTATCTTATATTTGCGCGTTCATCATGAAAGAGTAAGCCTGTTTATAGTGAGTCTTTCAGTCAGTCCTAGAAGTGTTTCATTGATCCAGTTTTACCAGCAGGAGCTTCTGAAGGCTGGTAGAAAATGTTTTGCAGCCACAGAAGAAATCGATTCATCACATCTGAAAAACAAATTCATAGCATCTCCCACTATCTTTACTGCATATGTGAACCAGGGAGAACATCTGTCAAACAGCCAAGAATTATGGCTGTCACTGAAGATGCGCTAAAAAAAAAAACAACAGAGAAAGTGATTCTGAGAGAAAGATGAGTGAGATGGCAGAGACTCGCTACAGTAACTCACTGAGCTACTGAGACAGTGCCAAATTCATGCACTATATGTCCTGTTTTGTGATATCTTCAACTTCTTTTAACCTGCCACAAAGAGAGACATGAAAATCCTATTCTAAAGTGATCCGAGCTCACAGGCTTACTGTAAACTGATACTGCATTGGAAGGTTGACATTGGTAAAACACAAAGGGATGCATGGCTCAAAGCCTTGGGATTATTTTGCATTCCAACCATATGCACGATGTTTAAGTCAACACTGGCAATTCACACTGTTCAGCGACAGACTGTGACTGGATAGGGCCGCCTCTGAAATCACCACATCCTGTCTGGTATCCCTCAGACCACGACCTGTCTGGAATTGCTGCAACGATACCTAATTTTCCTCGTTTCAATCGACTGGAAACCAATAAGATAAAAATCATCGAGTTTGCTTAAGTGAAAGGGGCCTAATTACACAGCATGCGTGGTTATGTTACTTAAGTACCAGGACTGCCAACTCACAGTGATAGTGAATGTCATCTCTTAGCAGTCAGACAGTATACGGGCTAAAGAATAAATAGGTGGAACCGCACACAAACACCACACTCACAAATAACAAAGCTTAATACTACAAAGACAGAGAAGTATTACTGAGTGACATGGCAGCCGGCTCCACCACAGCTAATGTTATCGCAGTGGAGGAGGGGTGGGTGTGGGATAAGCTAACGTTGACTAGTTACTTCAAATCTGACAGGTGAGTGAGTTATAGAATCATTAAAAAAATGACAAGGCACTTCCGTAGTCATCTTTTCTAGGACTAAAATACATAAATTACAATCAAATACTCGTCGTCTAAGCCTTGCTGTCCTACCCAGCCCAGTCTGCAGACCCTGTCTGCTCATCTCGGGAACGCATCAACAACCTCCTTACATTTTGGCTAGTTAGCTCGGCTTAGCTAACACGGACTAACATGCTAAAAACAAGACAGCGCCGCCCCGGCTTTGTAGTCTTACCGAATTGTGGAAACTTGAAAGTCAAATCTGTCCGAACCCTGGTTCACAATGAAATGTGCATAAAGATCCGTGAAACTCTCTTACATATATTATCTTTTTCGTCTAGCTGTGAGACTGAAGTTTATTTCACTGAGTAAAATGGCTGCGACTGGATCTAGGTTCGGATGTGGAGTGACGTAATGACGTTGTTGGACAGGAAGCATTTGGGAAGAGTGGCTAGGGCAGGGATTGTGGTCAGGGTTTATGGACTAGGTACTATGAAACAAACATGACCCCTGTTTCTACTGTCAAATACACTATGAAACCCTTTTTGAGAAGCTTTTCTCCCAGAGGGCCAAATATTACGTGGCAGTGTTGCATAATTCTCTTACATGCATGTAGTAGAGAGTGGTAAGAGTTAGAACAACCGGATCACCCCATATCATTTGGGTCTAGAGAATTTGATTAATTGCAGATTTCTTAGAAAGTGTATCAACTTAAGTTCAAAATCAGCTAGGCTACTGTATCTCGGGTACTCTCTCCTCCGTCTTGTATCCCCAGTCTTCAAAGAGAGCCGTGTGTGAAATTGTAATATATAGACCTAAACATAAAAAAACACTGGTGAATGCCAGATTTTTCGTGCAAACATCTTAAATGTGTTTTCCGAACAAATTTAACAAATCTGTTCTTAAGAACTGGTGATGAATGAGACCCAATGAATCGACTATTCCGTTTTTGCCTGACATAACACCCCGGGTCACTAGATGGCGCTCTCGTCCCGATCGTCACACCAAGACCATATCACCGCTTGTTTTTAGCGGCATATGACCGGATACGCAGTTTCAAAACATTGAATATGCCAGCAGTGCAGAAGAGGGTGTTTCACAATGGTTGATGTCGATTTTAGTTAACAATATGTACTAGGAGTAATAGAATAGTTCTGGCTCCAACATGGCGGGGCCGCTGTTGGAGTATGAGACCGAGATGTTCCTGAGTCTGTTTGGCTCTGACGGGCTGCTCGTGGTTGCGGAGGGCATGGGGATAGACCGCATCCTGCTGCAGTTCATGCGGGTTTATTCGGAACCGGGCAGCCTGGTTCTTCTGCTCAACACCACCACACCTGAACAGGTCTCGGACCACAGAAGCAAATAGAGTCGAGATGTAACGTTAAAGAGTCGAAAAGTGGAGTTAGTTGGATATAAGAAATCCGTTCAAAGACACTTAAGGGTGGCTATTTGAAAATAATACATTAGTCACAGCAGTCTACTTCTAGCAGGGATTTTTAAAAAGGGAACCTTAGAACGTAACAGTAACTTTTCTAGTTGATTTGACATTAATTAGCCAATTGTAACCTTAATCTATATCGCGCTTGGCTGCTTGTTTGTCCAGTATTATTTCACATAGCTAGAGCTGTGTTGTCATACCACTTGGCCCTTGGTACAGTAGGATACGTTTATAGAGAAAAAAAATATTACATTTTTGTCACGCAAAAACCTTGTTTGTACTTAATTGCCACACAATTGCTGAGTGATGGTCTTCAACGCTAGTCACTATCCTACGGATGGCCCCTTGCTGCAGCCAATGTGTGAATTTACCTTCTCTTCTTCCGCTCTTCTCAGGAATATTTCACAGAGCAGCTGCGAGTGGAGGGTGTGACCCACCTGCCCAGGACCGTGACCAGTGAGGTGCAGAGCACTGAGCGTTATAATGTTTACACTGAGGGAGGGGTGCTGTTTGTCACCAGCAGAATCCTGGTGGTCGACTTCCTCACTAACCGCATCCCTGCCCCTCTCATATCAGGTCAGAAGACTGCCTGGTCATGGCTAAAATGGCAGCCATGTTTGTTTTGTTACATCATGTCATCACTAGCAATTACTAGTGTAGTAGCTTTTGTGGGAACATTTGTTTGTGTACGTCTATGATACCATAGAGTGGTATGTCAGTTGTCACTGATATCTTTAAATATCTTAATATGGTCTTAATGTGTGTAGTTCAGTTCCCTGCAATAGCAATTGAGTGCACCAGATCACCACCCAGGTCAACAGGTCAACACATACAATAAACAGGAAAGAAAATGGTGCTGACTGCTGATCACAAAGCTAAAAAAAAAAAAAAGCTAGAGATCACTGAGGGTCTCCAGCACACACAAGTAAGGCAGACCAGATTGTGGAATCACAGACATTATAGTGGGTACACACTTTAGAGAGTACAACGTGAGTGAGTACAAACCTATTGTCGGGAATTGAAAACAAAAAAAGTGGCTGTTTCAAAGTCGTGTAGTATTTATTGCTGCTATTGCATTGCATTACGCACAGGTGTTACTACATTGCAGTCTTTCTGTAATAACCCCTCAGGCATCCTGGTGTATCGCGCCCATAAAATCATTGAGTCATATCAGGAGGCCTTCATCCTCCGTCTTTTCAGACAGAAGAACAAAACGGGCTTTATTAAGGCCTTCACTGACAAAGCCACAGCATTCTCCTCAGGCTTCTGCCAGGTGGAACGTGTGATGAGGAACCTCTTTGTCAAGAAGCTCTACCTGTGGCCCAGGTAAGAAGCATTTGCTTTCGTTTTGGTCATAACAGGAAAAGCACAGGTTGAATTAGTACAATAATAACTGTATGCTTCATTTACTTTTGTTCTCTGTGTGCTTCATTCAACAGATTCCAAGTATCTGTGAACACAGCACTGGAGAGGCACAAGCCAGAAGTGGTGGAGCTCCATGTGTCATTAACACCAGCTATGAAGGCCATCCTTAGCTCCATCCTAGACATTATGAGTGCTTGTCTAAAGGAGCTAAAACGCTACAACCCCACTCTGGAGGCTGAGGACCTCTCCCTGGAGAACACACTGGGCAACAGCTTTGAAAAGGTTTGATAAACGACATGCCTTGTTGCTCTCCATCATCATCAAAGGATTTATTACAAGTAGTTGAACTTTATTGTTTGAGGTTGTATTTGACCTCATCTTACACTGTCCAGACCATCCGTCACTACCTGGACCCCCTGTGGCACCAGCTGGGAGCAAAGACCAAAGCCCTGGTTCAGGACCTGAAGGTGCTGAGGGTTCTCCTGCTCTACCTCACCCAGTATGACTGTGTCACCTTCCTCAATCTGCTTGAGTCGCTGCGCTCCAGCCAAAAGATCTTTGGCTCTAATTCAGGTAAACTAGACATACTTAATTGCATAGACTACTTACCTTAAGCAAAAAATTGTGGTTAATGTTTACAATTAACCATCTTCATAGCTGTTTGATTACATGTGGCTGTTGTTGTAAACATCAGGGTGGCTGTTCCTGGACTCCAGCACCTCCATGTTTGTGAACGCCAGGAGTAGAGTGTACCACATCCCGGAGAGCAAGAAGAAACTCAAAGTAGGAGCAGAGCCAGAGAAACACAAGTCAACCTCTGCCTCAGGTAACGCACCAATAAACAGACCTCTGGCAGTGTGTTCTTCAGAGTAGGTGCCAGCAGTGTGATCTCTTTATATGTGTATTGTTGCTAAATTAACCAAAGGCTTTGTGCCTGTGTTTCAGAGGTAAAGCGGGAGCTGGTGCTGGAGAAGAGCCCAAAGTGGGAGGCTCTGACTGAGGTGCTGCAGGAGATTGAGAGGGAAAACAGGTGCTCTCAGCATGAACCAGGTTAGAACTCACTGTAGTAAGTAACATAGGAAAAGCACATAACAGGATGAAATCCTCATATTGAATTATATTTTAAATTTAGTCAGCCTAACACAGCTGACATTTCCCAACACTATCCTTAGGGTGGGCTGATGTGTCCTAGTTTACTGCTTGCTTTGTACTACATCATACACACATGCACACAGTTTGTAATTGCAGTGAATACAGTGAGGCAAAGTTGTCCCAGTGCATTTGGAGCAAATATAGTATATTGAATAGGCCTTGTTTTCTAGAGATGAATTCTGATAGCTGATTTTGTTTTGGATGTGGTTCCAAAGTATCCAGATTCGATTAGCTCTGCAGCCAACAAATCCCTCCTCAAATCTTTCTGTCATGCTCTCTGTTTAGTCTCTTCAGCTTTTCTCTCGCACACTACGGGAGTCGGCTCAGAAGAAAAAATATATACAAATGTAGCAAAAGGAAAAATGAGTGAGGACAGGGTTAATAAATGGCACAGAGCAGTGATAAAATATATAGTGCAAGCTTAGCACAGTGTCCATGGTTTGGGTTTAGCTTCTATCACTCAGTGTCCAACTTGTCTGGTAATTGGTTCATAAATCACAGTTAAAATTACCAACTGTACTATTAATGTCAATGGAAAAACCTGTATTACTAAATATCAAGTAGTATCATTTGTTAAACAATATAATTGAAATTTTCTTGTTAATAATTATGTGTTGTATTTATGTATATCAGAATTGCTATTTGAAGGGTTTTTTTTTTTCTCAAATCATTCAGCCCTTATCACACCTGTGTTAGACCAGTCCGCATTTCCACCATGAGCTTGGGTTACTGAAATCTGTTGTACATATTTCACTTCCAGGTCGGGTGCTGATCTGTGCCAGTGATGATCGGACTTGTGCCCAGCTGCAGCAGTACATCAGGCACGGCTCCGACTGGCTGCTCAACCGACTGTATGCCCGCACAATCGGTAAACAGGATTCTGCTGCAGGCACTGCCATCGAGCTTGACTCACACAAGAAGGGCAAAGGATGGTGCAAAAAAGGGACCAAAGGGAAGGAACCCGCACAGAAAAAAAACACAAGGAATAAGAGCAGGCCATCTCTGACACTGACGCAGATGATGGGGAAGCAGGAAACAGATGCAGCAGCAGTGATGAGCAGCAGTGAAGATGAAGATGAAATAGTGGAGGAAAATGAGGCTGAAGAAGAACAGCTAAAGTTAGATTTGTCATCTGATGCCTATTATGGTGTCCTAAAAGAGCCACTGACTGCCATCCACCCACTGAGAGGCTGCACTGACCCCTACAGCTTGACGCGGGTGCTGCATGAGGTAGAGCCTAGTTTCGTGGTGCTGTACGACGCTGAGCTGAGTTTTGTCCGCCAGCTGGAGATCTACAAAGCTAGCAGGCCTGGAAAGCCACTTAGGGTATATTTCCTGATCTACAGTGGCTCGACAGAAGAACAAAAGTACCTGACGACACTGTCGAAGGAAAAGAAAGCCTTTGAACATCTCATCAGGTCAGAAGTGCTTCTCAAATACCTTTTGTAGTATTTGTTGATTTTAGGGTGTAGGGATTCTCATTGGTGCTTATGTATGTGTAACACTGCAGGGAAAAAGCTACTATGGTCATCCCAGAGGAGAGGGAAGGGCGAGAAGACACCAACTTGGACCTTGCTAGAAATTTAGAGCCTGCCAATGCCACTACCAACACCCGCAAAGCAGGCATGTCTTTTTTTAGTCACTTTTAAAAGATTTTTATTTGTTTTATATCTTGTGAATTTCTGTGAAATTCCTTGACAGTTTTCTAGAATAATTTTCTCTTTTTTTTTCCTATTTCTTGTCCCGTAACCAGGAGGCCAGGAGCAGCCCAAAGAGCCCTCACGAGTTATTGTGGATATGCGTGAGTTCCGCAGTGAGCTGCCCTCTTTGCTGCACCGTCGAGGACTCGACATTGAGCCCGTCACCCTAGAAGTAGGTGACTACATTCTGACCCCAGACATGTGCATAGAGCGAAAGAGCGTCAGTGATCTGATTGGCTCATTGCAGAGCGGCCGCCTCTACACCCAGTGCCTCTCCATGACCCGCTACTACAAGAAACCAGTGCTGCTCATTGAGTTTGACCCAGCAAAACCATTTTCCTTAATGGCCCGATCAGATTTCCGTCATGAGATATCGTCCAATGACATTTCTTCCAAGCTCACATTACTTACGTTGCATTTCCCCCGTCTCCGTATATTCTGGTGCCCCTCCCCACATGCGACAGCCGAGCTGTTCCTGGAGCTGAAGCAAGGCCGCCTCGAACCAGATGCCACAGCAGCTCAGGCAGTCACAGCTGAGTCGGACACGGTGACTGAATCAGCAGACCTCTACAACCCCGGACCTTATGACTTCCTGTTGAAAATGCCCGGTGTCAACACAAAAAATTACAGGGCTCTTCTAAGAAATGCAGACAGCCTGGCAGATTTAGCCAAACTTAACCAGGACAAGCTAGCAGAAATACTGGGGAACGCTAACAATGCTAAGTTGCTGTTTGAGTTTCTGCATAATGTTGCTAATGTTGAAGCTCCTGTGCAGAAGGCCAAACAGACATGATATTGTCTAACATGTAAATGAGGTATTTTGACTTATCTATGTGAAGTTTTGTTTCCACCCATTGGGTGTTTTTATATTATAAAGCTTCTGTAGTATAGAGCTATGAAGGTTGAATCATATTAATGTAGAGAATTAACTGAAATATTCTATTTTGGAAGCTCCTTCACAGATGTGTGTGATGTGTTGAACTTTTAGATTTTTTTAAGTAACTTGGGAAAATATTTTTACACTGTGTAAAAATAATGTGTATCTATACTTGTTTATCTCAAAATAAAGCATTATAGAAAAGCAATTAGAAAATGCCCTCAAAAATAACTTATTCCAGGTTCTCAAATGTGAATGTTGCTATTTTCTGTGACTGCTTATTCCAGGTTCTCAAATGTGAATGTTTGCTATTTTACCTAATTTTCTGTGACTGTAAACTCAACATTTTTGTATTTTTGACAGCTGGGCCCACAAAATATGACATTTGAATATGTTAACTTAGACATCTGGGAATAATAATGGCACCTGAGCAATCAATTGACCAATCAGTTATTTAAAAAAATAATAATAATTGTTGGCCTACTCCTGTGATGACGTAATACTATCTAGCCCTAGATTATGTGTGTGTACTTGACAATAAAATAAAGCAATTTGATAAAAACTTTAAAACAAATTAGCCAAACATGACTTTAACCTGGGATTTATTACTTAGATGATTGTATTTGGACTTCAAAAATCATAAAAGTACAACAGAGAATGGCTGAGAATCCTTGGTGAAGTTCACCGCACAATCATCAAGGTCTCGCTTTCTATTGCCTGGAAAAGATAATGTATACAATACAATGCATTAGGTTACATAAAAAAACTTAAGTGTTATTGAAAGGTATCACATAAAACAAACTTATGTAAGTAATCCTTTGTAACTGTCATGTATAGGCCTACCTGGGTTAATGGCAATAGCTGGCTGCTGGCTGTTCTCTGGCACTGGATCCATCTCTCTTCCATGCTTGGCTCTTAAATGCCTCACGATGGATGAGGTGTGAGCCTTGTATCACACAGCATACACTGGACCTGTGAAACAATGAGTTAGCAAAGTCGATCATAAGTTGAATGCATTCGTATGTAATTTTCCATTCCACTGAAACTGGGCATTGGCTACTACAGACATGTACATCAAGGACAACAATTGTGTAATTATGCTTTCTATAGCAAGATCATTATACTCGAGGGCTTGCCCTTAGGGGGTTTTCCAGTGTAAATACAGGTGAAATAAAAACAACACTCATACCTTATTATCCAGCAGCAATTAGATATCATCCCATGGAGGGCCCTTTTCCTGGTTGTCTCCCGTTGCGGCTCCATCTACCTAGATATGTATATCTAGCTAATTCATAAATAATGTTTATTATTATGATTTTTCAGGCCGCCAAATTCTGCCTGTGTTTCCATCAGGAATGAATTCACAAGGCGATCACATGAGCATTATGGAGCTGCTGTTAAATAGATTAGACGAGAATGGCGTTGGATGCTGCACGCCATGTTTCGACAACATAATGCTGACAATCTCACCAACGACAACAGCGGTGGCAATGTAGATGTCAGTGTTGACAACAACAATGCAAATGCAGATGACGCTGGAGCTGCTGCTGGGGTTGAGGTCGGACCTGGAGACAACCAGGATGTTAAAAAAGGATGAGCCCCTGCCTGGTCCATCCAGGCAGAGGTCAAGAGAGGAGGATGAACAGGACCCAGATGAGAGATATAGTGAGGAATTCAGGTGGTGGGAAGATGACGACAGCAGCACTGACTACTTCTCTGACAGTGACACTGACGATACTGAGGAGAACACTGGAAATAGTCCAGCTGAACATGCAGCTGGTACTGCTAAGATTGAAGATGACCCTATGCCTGGTCCATCCAGGAAGAGGCCAAGAGAACATAATCAAGTAGAAGTTGAGACAAGCAACAAAAAGTCAAAACACTTATGATTTTGCCAACAATAGTGCTGTAACTGTTACAGTCAGACCTGGCACAGATATTGGTCACAGTAACAGGCAGGTGCTGGAAAGGAGACGGATGAGGCCGTCAAACAGCAGGTGGAGGAGGAAAAGCCACGGCCAAGAGCATCTAGGAAGAGGTCAAGGGGAAACGGTGAAGACTCAGACACGAGAGAAAGCAAAAGACTGAGAGATTAAGATGAGACACTACTGATCCCTTCCACGTTTTCTTCCTTTTTTTGCCCTTGCTCTCATTAAAAGTTTGAAAGTTTGGATGGTGTCTTTTTTTTGTATAATTTACTTAGTTTTATTCATTATAATTTTGGAAAAAATTCCCAACCAGCGGCAAGCCAACACACCTGGTATATGCCCACAGGATCTGTGAGCTCATTTTCAGTGCACAATCTAAGGGTGTTTTCACACGCGGTCCCTTTCAGCCCTCTAAATGAACTCAGAGTGACTACTCAGCAATTTTTGTGTAAATATGAAGACTCCAAATGAACTCAGACCCCTCTTAAACAAATCAAACTGAGACCCCCTTGGAAGGTGGTCTCAGTTTGGTTTGTTTCAAGTCTGCATTGCAGTTCACTTAATCTGTGCAATGTGAACACAAAGCGCTCCAGGTTCGCTTGTAGTCTTTTGCATGTAAGGGCAGAAATACCAGCAATCTGTTAAAATACAGCAGCTAGCAAAAGTCCATCACAGAGAAATGCAGAAATATAACTACACCAAATTACAACTGTCTATAATGACATTTAGGGTCAGTTCCTTGGTCTATACATAAACATGAAGTTGAAAGGTTCTGTTTCATGTATTTTTCCTGATGACACATTGATGGTTTTGGACCGAGATGATCAACAATCCAACCATTACATAAAGGTGTAATGCTCACATGTCCACATACGTTTTAACCATGCAGTGTTGTAATAGTCCTAGCCAAGTATTTTTTAGTTTGTCATTTGCTTGTCTGTATGATTGGACACTGACGTTTTTTACAAAACCATGCTAAGGAAAAGTAGTAATAGAGCAACAGAGAGATTAAAACAGAACACCAGCCAAAATCAGAGGTGACCCTGAAGGTAGCAGGAGGCACAAGCTGCCTTAATTCAACAGCGCAGCACCGCCTGGGGGTTTGTTAGAGCCTTGTACGGAATCTGAAAACCTGATAGAAGTAGAATATAGCTGAAGAAAACCCAGAAAAATTAGACTCTTCCTCAGTATTAAAGAGTTGGATTAGGTTGCTGCTTAAAACAATCAAGGTAGAAATGACAATACTTGGCTTTTGAGTCAAGTGTAACATTTTAAGAAGGCAGGAAAAGGTATACAGGAAACCTGGTGAAACTCTGGCATCTCCTTTTTAAACTTTGTGTTTAGCTGAAAAGTAATATGTTGTTTTCCATTACCTAAATTATTACAAAGTTTCTTCATCTTTATAAAAAAAATAAACAACTGCATCTTGTCAAAAAGCATCCCATGATCACTTAAAACAGTGTAGGCTTACATCAGTGCAGACAGAAATGACTCTGGAGATTTAAGCATGCACTGTCTTACACAAGCCTACAGAGAGCAGCGGAGCTCTTTGTTTTGCAAACTCGTACATCTTAGAGGCCACGCTACCTCTGGAGTGATCTGTGTGTGAGAACCCCGGTGTCTGTCCAGCCTCTTCTGGGAGATCAAAAGCTTAATGTAAGGATGAAGACATGAGCAATGAGCAGGCAGCTGGAGCGGAGTGGTAACATCACACATTAGGGCTGAGGGCTGACTGGAAAGAGAAATAAAAGGGTAAGTAATGTACATGAAGTTGAATTAAACGATCGACAAATGTGCTGAGAACAACTGTAATGTCTCAACAGCTGGAGCGTCAGGTTGGTTGGCACATGAGGAGGACTGGGGAAAAAATTGTTCAATTGCTGCTCTTTGGACCATGCGAGATGAATAAAAATGTAAGTCTGGCAGCTGATGTGTCCTGTTATTACTGATGGTGTAGCATCACTGTGAATGAGAGGGGAACAGCTTGAAATTGATGGCAGGCTGGAGGATAAAATAAGACATTTAACACTGGATATTTAACAGTGCAGAAAAAGAGAGCGAGAGAGAAAACAGAGAAGAGGAAACAGCTAAAGGGCCAATACATCCCTTCAGCCCTCATTAGGAAAAGAGAGAAGCAGCGGGGTTTTGTTGTAAATGGAGGGCTATGCCTTAGAGTTAGCTAGGGTCTAAAAGCCAAACACAAACTCTCTGGAGGTTAACACACACTTTAAAGGAATGGCTGGGAATTTTGGGAAATACATTTACTGCTTTTAATACTGAGAGTTACAGCAGATGAGAAGATTAATGAGACTCTCGCGTTTCTTAGCTTATCATAGCAGAAAGATTGGAAACAGGAAGGCAGCTAGCCTGGCTCTGTAATAACATCTTCCTACCAGCACCTCTAAAGCTCATTTAATATTTGTGAAAATAAATTGTTGTGGTTTTATGGGAGGTTGGGAGCTGGGGTATTTAGTCCACTAGCATCCTAGTCAGTAAGTTGGTCTGGCACGTAACATCCAGTAAAACCACATGCTGTTTTTACACAACAGTTTTTGTGCAGATTAAACAACAAACAACTTATGTGTATAGTGTGTATAATGTGTTAATTATTGAGCTTTAGAGATGCTGGTAGATGATTTTGTTACTTTTGGACACAGCCAAGCTAGCTAGCTGTTTCCAGAATTTGCAGCAAGCTAAGCCAACTGGCTTCTGGCAGTAGCTTCATACAGACATGACAGTGGTATCAGTATAGTTACTCAATCAGCAGTGAAGAAACCTATTTCTCAAAGTGGCAAACTGTTGCTTTAAGGATCAGTCTGATTCCAATCCCCAAATCAAATCCTTCATTATACAAAAGCATAATATTTCAATCACATTTTTTACATTGTTGGTAAAGGTTTTTGGAACGCTTTCATATTTTTAAGTAATGGAAAACTAATAAACTCCATTCAAATCCGCAAAGAACACTTTTCAAATGATATCAGATGTACATAGTGCTACTGTAAATGTCCATAATTAGGTACTGAGCCAAAAAAATCTTAGATTGCATGTCAGATTGAATGAATCAACCGACCCAGGGTCAAATTCTGAAAAGCATGACTCACGGAACAGCCTTTTATCACTAAGAGCAGTCATGATCATTGAAAATGGTGGAAGCTGAGCAGAGTTTCAGTGGCAATAAAAGTACTCCAGCAGCAGAGAAGATGGCTGCTGCTGGCACTACACGTATAGCATTTCAGGCAGTCATGACCCACTCTACACCAGAACTTTAGCAGAATGCAACCAAAGATTATGGTGCTTGGAAATGGTAGAGTGGAGCTC